CACATATTATTGTTCCAAGCAGACTAGATAGATAGATAGATACTTTATTCATCCCCAAGGGGAAATTCACAGGGGTTCTTTGAAATATGTGAGTACAGTACTGGCTGGAATTAGCTCTTAGCTTCATACTGAGGCACCCTTCCTGTGTGCACCCTACTGCTCACCTTGACCCAGTTCTTGGCAAGGATGTGAAACTCATCAAATGGAAACTACTTGGAATGGTGAAAACAGTTACAAGGTATCCGTCACAGGATACAGTCTTGAGAAATGTAGGCTATTTATTGTTAGCGTTCTAGCTTAACTTGTGTTCTAGTTCTACTTGTACTGTAATCAGTCTGTAAACCACTGGGCCTGAATGAAAATAACCAAACAGAGCTGTGAAAGATATAAAGATTCTTTGGGTTGGAGTCTTGAAGATAGTTGAGTATATTATAGTAAAAGTTCAAAATGAGAAATGATGAAAATGACAAGTAATTTGAAACATTACCTACTGCAGCTTGAATAACATAATTAGAATGACACAAATATAAAAATGTTCTCAAACATATGGCATTTCCTCTTGAAATCATGCTTTTCAGAACAGTAATGAAACACCCTCTGCCTGTATGAACTGCTCTATTAAAGATCAGATGTGTTCAAACCCCAGCAGCCTAAACACTCGAGCGGACCATCAAACAGGGTCACACAACGTTGTGATCAGACAGTAAGCTTTTGTTTCACGGTCAAGTGAAGCTGCGAGCGTCGCTAGTAAAGGAGACAAGAGCTTAAAAGGTGCAAGGAGCTTTGCATTATGCTTGTTGCTATGGAACTACCCATTGGCATAGCTGGCGAATTTTCAAAAGGGGTTAATGTTGTGATGTGATTGCAGTGGCTGCTGAATGAGTGGGACATGGAGTACAGGCTGGAGGTTGAGTTTTAAATCAGACATGAGATCTGGTTTTTGGAAAGTTAAACTAGAAATTATTACCTAAAATAATGATTAAATGGGATGAGGCATATTAACTTGGACCTGGCTTCGTTTATTCAAATAATCAAATCAAAATCATCAAAATCATCAAATCAAGACTTTAAATGCAGATTTTTTGTGTGTGTAGCAGAAACTGCTGTTAACAATGCACAAATGGCAGATTTAGTTCAACACCAAGCTTTATTAGTATTCAAAAATGAGCCACTGAATCTTGCATTTACTTGACGACCAGAAGTTCAAAGGATCAGTTCACTCAGATTAAGAAAAAAAGTTAGTATTATGGATTTGGCTAGTTTGTCAAATTACCAGCTGATGTGCTGGTAATTTGACAAGCTAAATTCAGCAGCTTCCAAAGTGCAAAATCTTTGAGCAAGTATGTTTATTGTTTTTAGATTCAGTTACATTGTTATTTAAAAATACATTTTGCATTCAGGCCATTGTTGTCCACTAGTCTCTTGGCTTTTTTTTTATAGGAGCAGAGTCTGGGAGCTG